CCATGGTGGCCGGGGGCAAGGGCAGTGGCCGGTGGGGTCTCTCTGCAGCGGGGAAGACATGGGGGGCAGGTCAGGGGCGGCGCCCCATCAGCCTCCAGACCCGCAGCAGCTCCCGGACCCTCGAGGCCACTCCGCCTCCAGGCGAGGCCCCGGCGCAGGCGCTCCCCGCGCTCTGAGCCCCACTCTCATGGCGCGTCTGCTGACGGCCACCCGGCTAAGCTCAGTAGACGGACCGCCAGCCCCGAGTCCCATGCAAAGCCCCGCGCTGTCCGGGCCCCCGGTCTTCCTGGAGGAGGCTCTCCCAGCGCGCCTCCGCTCGGGGACCAGTCGGCCATCCCGAAGGTGCTCAGCCAGCGAGGACAGACGTGGGTGGGCAGCCTTGGCCACCCATGAGGCGGGCAGAATGCGCCCTGGGGCTCACAGGGTCCTCAGAAGACCTTGTGGGGAGGCCGGGACAGGGCGGGGCGGGGCGGGGCGGGCTGCGCGAGCGCGCAAAGCGGAGACCCCCCTCCCCAGCACTGCAAGATCCCACCCGCCCGCTGGAGGCCAGCTCACCTGCGTCATGCAGGCCTGTGCTTTCAGCAGAGAGCCCCCAAGGGACCCCCCTGCACCCCACTCCCACGAGACCAACCACTTTCGCTAAGCCACACCCCCCAAAGCTCCACCCCTCTTCTCCAAGCTCCACCCACCTCGCCCTGCGCTCTGTCTCCCCAACACACCATTTGAGCCCTTCGACCCTGCAACCTAGGACTTCCCTCGCATCCTCGCGGAGCCACGCCCCTCACCAAGCCCCACCCTCCAGGGAGCCCCGCCCATAACGCAGGCCCCGCCCACCCCTCCGGCTTAGCTCCGCCCCAGCCGCCGCTAGGCCCCGCCTCCTCCCCACCCCGCCGCCTGCGGGACCGGGCCCCCTCCAGGCCGCTCAGAGCCGAGGGCCGGGCGAGCGCTGGCCTTTGTGCCCCTCCCCCTGTCCCTAAAAGGTGCGGCCCGGCGGCCGGGGCGGGGGCAGGTCGGCGGGGCCCGCGGCCGGGCGAGTCCACCTCGCTCCGACGGAGCGGGGACGCTGGAGGCCGGGGGCGGCCCCAGGAGGCCGGGGAAGTCAGTCTGCTTTCCTCTTTAATTACTTACACCTCCCTCTGGGCGCCGACATTTTGGGCAGCGGGGGCAGCGTCACTTCCACCCGGGGGGCCCCTCGACTTCCGTCTGGGCTCCCTTCTCCCCCGGCCTCCCCCTTTCTCCCGCCCTCTTGGCTCCCCCCCTCCCCGCCGCCCGCCCTTCTCCCTCTTTCCTGTCCCTTTCCCAGAGCGGGAGGTTAGGGAAGCCGGGCCGGCGCCATCTTGGGTGAGGGCAGCGGAGGGGCGGGGCCTGCGGCGGTCCCCGGCGCCATGCAGACTGAGGGCATCGGGCTGGGCCGGCCCGTGCCACCGAGTCGGCGCTGGCGGGCGTTGACGAAGGGCGGGCGGCTGTGACTCCTCCTACGCCTGGCTAGGATGTAGACTGCTTCAGGAGGAAGGGGAGATCGGAGGTCGCCGGCTGCGATGCTGAGTTGGGAGGGAGAGCAGGCTCCATCTTGTCCTCGACCCTCTCGGAGGCTTTGAAGCCTCGGGGCGCCATGTTAGTTACGGGAAGGAGCCGCCATTTTCCCGCTCGTCCTCCCTTCGGTACCTGTCTGAGACTGGTCACCGGCGGGGCGTTGTGGGAGGAGAGCCGCCAAGTCTGAGGGCTGGGGCTGTGTGGTGGGACAGTTTCCCCGGCGGGGCCTGCGGCGTCGACAGGTGCGCGGACGCGCTCTGCCCGCCCGACGGCCCGCGACCGGGCCTTAGGACCCAGTGCGGCCCCTTTGTTCCCCGTGGGCGCGCGG